TGTTTTTAAGGTTACCCAATGATAAGCAAACAATAGAAACATTCCACACCAGCTTTTCTTTTCTTTTTTTTCCTTTGACTTTTCTTTTTTTTAATTGATTCTATTAATTTTTAAAAATACACAACAACAGTGGAATGCATTACAATCCTTATTACACATACAGAGCACAATTTTTCGTATCTTTGTATATAAAGTATGTTCACGCCAATTTACGCCATTATACATGTACTTTTTTTTGCATTACAATTCTTAATACACATATATACCACAATTTTTCATATCTCTGTTTGTATATAAGGTATGTTGACACCCAATTCAAGTCTTCATACATGTGCTTTGTACAATGATGACCATCACATTCCACCATCCTTGTTAATCCCCTTCCCCCTCCACCCTCCCTTTCCTTCCCATCCCTCTTCCCTATGTAGAATTCATTCAATCCTCCCATGCTCTCCCTCCCTACCCCACTATGAGTCACCCCTCTTATGTCATTTATTTTTTGGGAATTGGCTTTCACTTAGCATTATCTTCTCCAATGCCATTCATTTACCTGCAAATGCCATGATTTTGTCCTTTTTTAATGTTAATATTCCATTGTGTATAAATGCCACATTTTTTAACCAGCTTTTCTTTTCTTGGGTTTATTTACTTTTTTAAAAAAACTTTATATATATATATATGTATATATATATAATTATCAGAATGTATTTTGACATATTATACATATGTGAAGTAAACTTCCCATTCTTGAGGTTGTACATGATGTGGAGTTACCCTGGTTTTGTATATTCATATATGAACATAGGAAAGTTATGTCTGATTCATTCTACTGTACTTTCTATTCCCTTTATTCCCCTTTGACTAATCCAAAGTACTTCAGTTCTTCCCCTCCACCCCCACTCCCTTATTGTGTATTAGCATCCGCTTATCAGAAAGAACATTCAGCCTTTGGTTTTAGGGGATTGGCTTATTTCACTTAGCACGGTAATCTCCAATTCTATCCATTGACAGGCAAATACCATAATTTCATTCCTTTTTATGGCTGAGTATTATTCATTGGGTATATGTATATATACCACATTTTCTTTATCCTTTTGTGAATTGAGTTCCTAAAAACATTGATTTGGCTGCATCACTATAGTATGCTGATTTTAAGTACTTTGGGTATATGCTGAGGAGTGAAATAACTGGGTCAAATGGTGATTGTATTCCAAGTTTTCTGAAGGATCTTCATCCTGTTTTCCAGAGTGGTTGCACCAATTGGCAGTCCCACCAGCAATGTATGAGTGTACCTTTTTCCTTACATCCTCACCAACATTTATTGTTGCTTATATTCTTAATAATTGCCATTTTGACTGGAGTGAGATGAAATCTCAGCGTAGTTTTAATTTGTATTTCTCTAATTGCTAGTGATGTTGAACATTTTTTCATATATTTGTTGACAAATTGTATTCTCCTGTGAATTGTCTGTTCAGTTCACTTGCCTATTTATTGATTGGGTTATTTGTGGTGTTTGTTGTTGTTGTTAAGTGTTTTGAGTTCTTTATATATCCTGGAGATTAGTGCTCTATCTGAGGTGCAAGTATCAAAGATTTTCTCCCATTCTGCGGGCTCTCCATGTTATTGTTTCCTTTGCTAAGAAAATTTTAGTTTGATGCCATCCCATTTATTGATTCTTGATTTGACTTCTTGTGCTTTAGGGGTCTTGTTGAAGAAGTCAGTTCCTAAGCCAATATGATGGAGAATTGGGCCTACTTTTTCTTCTAGTAGGCACAGGGCCTCTGGTCTAATGCCTAGGTCCTTGATCCACTTAGTTTTGTGCAGGGTGAGAGATAGGGGTTTAATTTCATTTTGCTATATATGGATTTCCAGTTTTCCTGACACAATTTGTTGTAGAAAATAAAAACTTTATAGAGAAAAGATATTTTCTCTAATGTATGTTTACAGTGACTTTGTCTAGCATAAGATAACGGTATTTGTATGAATTTGTCTGTGTCTTCTATTCTGTACCATTGATCTTCATGTCTGTTTTGGTGCCAATACCATGCCATTTTTCTATAGCATAATTTAAGATCTGGTATTGTGATGCTTTCTTCTTTGCTTTTCTCACTAAGGATTGCTTTGGCTATTCCTGGCCTTTTATTTTTACAAATGAATTTCATGACTAATTTTTCTATTTCTATAAAGAACATCAATGGAATTTTAATAGGAATTGTATTGAGTCTGTATAGTGCCTTTGGTAGTGTGGCCATTTCTACAATATTAATTCTGCCTATCCAAGAATGTGAGTGGTCTTTTCATCTTCTAAGGTCATCTACAATTTCTTTCTTTAGTGTTCTGTAGTTTTCATTGTAGAAGTATTTCACTTTTTTTGGTGTTAGATTCATTCCCAAACATTTTATTTTTTCTTTGAGGCTAATTTATCTTTTCTAATTTATCTTCCAATCAATTCATCATTGATGCATATAGGAATGCAATTGATTTATGAGTATTAATTTTGTATCTTGGTACTTTGCTGAATTTGTGAGTTCTAGCTAGAAGTTTTCTGGTGGAGTTACATGTCTTCTAAATATAAAATCATGTTGTCAACAAATAGATATAGTTTGATTTCTTCTTTTCCTATTCATATTCCCTTAATTTCTTTCTTCTATTGCTCGGGCTAGGGTTTCCAGGACTATGTTGAATAAAAGTGGTGAAAGAAGGCCTCCTTATCTTATTCCAGTTTTCATAGGGAATACTTTCAATTTTTCTTCATGTTGGCCTTGGGTTTAGCATATATAGCTTTTACAATGATATATTCCTACTATCCCTAGTTTTTCTAGTGTTTTGTCATGCTGTATTTTGTTAAATTCTTTTTCTGCATCTATTGAAATAATCATGTGATTCTTCTTTAAGTCTATTGATGTGATGAATTATGTTGATTTCCATATGTTGAACCAACCTTGCATCCATGGGATGAACATCACTTGATCATGGAACTGCCATTTTAATGTTTTTGTATGTGATTTGCCAGTATTTTACTAAGAATGTTTCCCTCTATGTTCATCAGGGATATTGATCTGAAGTTTTCTTTCCTTGATGCATCTTGTTCTGGGTTTGGTAACAGGGTGATACTACCTCAGAGAATAAGTTGTGAAGGGTTCCCTCCTTTTTTATTTCATGAAGTAATTTGAGGATGATTGGTGTTGGCTCCTCTTTGAAGGTTTGGTAGAACTTGGCTGAGAATCTCTCCAGCCCTGGGCTTTTCTTTGTTGGTAGGCTTTTGATGATGCCTTCAATTTCATTGCTTGAAATTGATTCATTGCTTGAAACTGATCTGTTTAAATGATCTATGTTCTCCTGATTCAAATTGGGTGGGTCATATGTCTCTAGAAATTTGTCAATATCTTCATGATTTTCTATTTTTTTTGTTATATAAATTTTTAAAATAGTTTTTGATTGTTATCTGTATTTCAGTAGTGCTTGTTGTGATCCTGTTCCTTTTTCATCAAAACTTTTAGTAATTTGAAATTTTATTTTTTTTAAAGAACCAACTTTTTTGTTGATTTTTTTTTCTTGGAGAGTTTGTTTTCAATTTCATCGATTTCAGGTCTGATTTTTTATTATTTCTTCTGTTACTTTTGGTGCCGATTTGTTCTTCTTCTAGGACTTTTGAGATGTAATTTCAGGTTATTTGTTGACTTCTTATTCTTTTAATGAAAAAGCTCAATGCTTAGAACTGCCTTCTTCATAGTATTCCAGAGATTTTGATCTATTGTATCACTGTTCTCATTTACCTCTAAGTTTTTTTTTCCATCCCTGATTTCTTCTTCTATCCATTGGACATTTAATAGTGTAATAGTTTTCTGGTATTAGAGTAGCTTCTATTTTTTATTCATCATTGATTTCTAATTTCATTCCATCATGATCTGATAGAATGCAAGGTATTATCTTTTTTTTTTCTTTTTTTGTATTTGCTAAGAGTTGTTTTGTGGGCTAAGAAACACGAAGACAGATTTTCTAACTGAATGTGCTAAACTTCTCTGGAGACCTGCTGGAACCCAGGGGGATGTGGAAGGGGAAGAAAAGGAGAGACAGGGAGATTTACAGAGACCATTTTAAGAGGGTTCTCTTGGAGACCAGGCATTCAGCATCCTGATGTTGCTGTCTACTTTAAACCCAGTCGTGGGCCTCTGGCATCTGGAAGACTACGGGGGCAGCTGCCCTAGCCAAGGTCGCAACCTGACCTTCCCCTGGGGCCTCCTCTCCGTGTGCTCCCCCATCGCGCGCGTAGGAGACTTCAGCTCAGGGAGGGCACCCCTGCCTGGGAGTGGGTATCTCCTGGAGCCGAGGGAGAGCCGAGCCACAGAGCCTCTTTCTTGTCCTGTGGGGCTCAGCCCTGGCGCCGTAGGGGACTTCCTGGCCTTCCACGGCAGGTGCAGCATGGATGGAGAATCTCTAGCATGGTTTCTGGCCAACCTAGGATGCTCTAACCCAGCAGCTCCAGTGAGCGGTCCGATAACGCGCTACCCTCTCTGATGGGCATACAGAGCCCTGGAAACAGCAGGGCTTGAGGTTAGGGACCCCCAGTGGCCAGCCACGACTGTCGAGTGCTGCAGGGCTGCCTTGGTGGTGCTGAACTTGGGTGAAGCCTGACTGGCCTTCCAGGAGCTCAGGGTGGTCCTCTCCTGTTCCTTAGTATGTGGACTGGCACCAGGAGGCTTAGGCTCCTTCCAGCCCCAGCTCTGGCGCCATCACAAGCTGGCCTTCGTGAAGCTAAGGGCAAGCTCTCCATCTAACTCTGATGATCTACAGGGACCTGGGGACGCCCACCTCCACTCCAGCTCTCAGCGCCTCCACCTCCACTGGGCAGCGGAGCTCGGCGCTGGCTGGAGCGCAATCGACCGACCCCCAGGTGCCAGATCACTCCTGACCAGGCACATCAGGTCCTGCCCGAAGGTTGGGGTGCCAGGAACGCGCTTGCGTTTAGCAGTGTTGCTTGGCAACCACTATTCCACCTTTGGCAGTTACCTAACCGCCCAACTGCCCTGTTCCCAAGCTGGGGACTGACCTATAAACTCCGGCATGGGTTCGGGAAACAGAGACAAGCCCCGTGGGAGCAAAGGCAGTAAAGGGGCCTCGGAGAGACAAGGATGTACGCAGCCTTGATGGATTTTCTTGACTTCAGCCTCGGGAGTACGGTTTTGGGATATAACCCTGTAGGCAAGATCCACAAGGCTGCAAGAAATGGAAATGTAGCCCAAGTGAGACGTCTGCTCTATCGGGGAAGTTATATCGATGACGCAGACAAGAAGGACAGGTACATAGAGCCCGGAGGGCAGGGACCCCAGGGGCAAGGGGCCAACCGGGAAAGCGGGACTCCTGAGGCAGAAGCCTGCGCCATCCAGGCTGTGCCCAGGGGACAGAGCAGAAGGGAGTCCAGTTCTCCTTCCACCTGATGATCCTGGGCTTTTATGACTCACGGATCCGGACAGCTGGGACCTGTGGACCTTGGAGCGGTCAGGCGCACAGATTCTCTTAATGAGCTGCAAAACTTCAGCTGCTTTCCCAGCAGCTTACAACCCCCCTATAGAGCGGCTGATTGCCTGTTTAAGAGCGATTTAACTCACAAAATTAAGTACACACAGCCGTTTATTGTTAATGCACACATTTTAAAAAGCAAGTTATATACATAGTAGAAAAGTGTATTCTGAGAAAAATATTTCTTCCAACTGGAAGATTCTTCCAGTGCAGCCCAATATCCATTTGCATCAGTGTACACCTATGTCCCTGTTCTCTATGGAGGGGCCTCAGGGAGACTCTTTGAAGTGGGAAGATGGCTCTGCGGGCTTTCTAAAGGTCGTGTTTAAAGTTATTTCACACTAGTGTATTTAGAGTTGCCACCTCCACTCCTCCAGATATTTTACTTATTTCTCACGCTTCACTAATTCCTCGACTTCTAAGGTGTCACTTTGTGTCATCTTGGTCAGCCAACCATCTTCATGACAAAATGTTGATGAGTACTCCATTAACTTCACTCACTTCCAAGAGAATGGAACAGCGTGCACCGGCAGCTTCCACTTTCCAAAGCACCACACACATCACATCCTCATGTTTCCACTTGTCACCGCTGAGGCTACTGCAAGCAACTTCTGCTAAAGCTTCCCATGAAAAATTGCCGATTCCCACTGTTCGGATACCCTTTCCTGTGGTTATCCAGTTTTGCTTCTCTATTTAGGCAGGGAGAGCAGAGCACAGCGTTCCAGTGACCCACCAGGGCAGAAGGGGCAGCACAGGGAGGGCAGATGATAAGCAGAGGGCATCATAGGCTCCTTGCAGCCGCCCTAACGGCCCTCATGCTGCCTTGTTCTCAAGGGACCAGGGTAGCCAAGGAGGGCCTGGGCCCTGCTGTGATTTTTAAAATATATATATATAAGTTGTATATATATATATTATATGTATATATATATATAAAATATATATATATATAAAAAATATATATATATATAAACTATATATATATATATAAACTATATATATATATATAAACTATATATATATATATATATATATATATATATATATTTAGTTGTAGAAGATATTTTATTTATTTTTATGAGGTGCTGAAGATTGAACCCAGTGCCTCAAACGTGCTTGGCAAGCGCTCTAACACCCAACAACAACTCCAGCTTTTGTGTGATGGTTTTGAATAAGAATACTCAGCAGCTTACAACCTTACAAAGTGTGAGCTCTTTCTATGATGACCAATTTTTGCTTGCCAACAAGAATATCAGAGTTTTAACATTTTGAGACATTCAGTCTTTTAGGGTTGTGATAACACTAAGAAAATGTTTGTGATAAAGACTTGTCCTTCTGGGTATCAAAATACACAATTAATTTTTACAAATTATGTGTTTGCCAATAGATGAAAAGGATGGGGGGTGGGTGGAACAGAACAAAAACCCAGAAACACTCAAATCTCTGCAAGTATTTGGTTTGTGCTGCTGGTGACATTTCATATTAGTAGGACACAAATTATTCATGAGTGAAATGCCTGTTTGTTGTTTGGAGAAAACTAGCTAGACTTTTACGTCACAAAAGCGATTCCCTGATTGAATATAGACGATTAATTTTAATACAAAATGAGAAAAATGCCTGAAGAAAACACAAATGCCTCTTTATACATTTTATGTTGGCAAAGACCTACCTAAACTGAAAAGAAGTCTTTCTCTCTCTCTCTCTCTCTCTCTTTCTCCCCCCCCCACACACATGTATGTGTTCTACCACTGAGCTGAACTCCCAACCCCTGATCTCTAATTTTAAATTGGGCAAAGTAATCTTTTCCTGATGCACAAGTGACCTACGAACATAGGAAAAAATATTTAGTGTCCCTGGTAAGAGAAGGAATTTAAGTTCAACGAGGAATAATTTTTCAGCTACAGAATTTGTAAGGATGGAGAGCAGTAATACTAATGTTGCTGCTTAAGGTTTGGGTTGTTTTGACTTCTCAAATGGTGATCTGATAGTGACTACTGTACCACACTGAAAAATGTATGTGTCTTCACCCATCAATTCCATTGTGCTAAATACCTTTAGGAAATAATAAGAGATACACATGGTTTGTTTTTCTCAGCACTTCTTAAAATAGCAAAGTATTAAGAAGGACCCATAGAATTGGATACTTATGCATTTTGAGAGGGTGCTTTATGAACTCTGAACAAATCCCCTTCCTAGGACCCCTCTACATTATGCCTGTGCCTACGGCCAGCCAGAAGTGGTGACACTTCTAATAAAGATGAACTGCAGCCTTCAGCTCTGTGACAGTGACAGCAACACACCGCTGATGAAGGTAGATGTAGCTTGGGATTTCTGCAGGGAATGAATTTATTTGAAATGCTTAGAATAATAATGATTTAATAAGTGAAAACTGTGGAATGCCTGCCTTTATTCCTGAAATTTACAATCTATTTCTTGGTTCCAAACCAACAGGCTATAGAACACAAGCAAGAGGAGTGTGCAACAATTCTTTTAGAAAATGGTGCTGATCCAAACATTCAGAACAAAAATGGTGCAACTCCTCTCCACTGGGCCGTCTTTTGTAGGAGCACTTCAATGGCAGAAAAACTGCTTTCATTTAATGCAAATATTGATGCCCAGAGCAAGGTATCATCAACCACTTTTATTTCTAAAATATTTGAAATACATTTGTTTGAACAGTGACTTACATCAGCACATGTTGACTATGAGCAGGATTTTCTTGACTAGAATCGTAGCAAATGTTGAAGCTTTTTTTTTTTTTTTTTTTTTTACAGCTCATGGATATATTTAGTGTGCTTCTATCAATTGAGTCAGTGTTTAAAATTCGGGAAACTCATGCATAAATCTGGGTTTCAAGCTTCTTCTGAAGACCCAAATGTAGTCACCCTTGAGCCCACGTTAGTGCGCATTGTGCTCTGCAAAATGTGTCCTCTTCATCGGAGGCCTGCGTGTTCTCCAGTTTGCTGTTAGCAAGCTGCAGCATTCACTCAGATCTATGATGGAGATTTATAATACATTTTGATTTAAGATTTCAAAGAGGCATGATAGTTTCTATTAACTTACAAAAGAATATGGCCTATAAAATGTATTAATCTCTGAAATAGGAATTTCTGAATTTTAGAATTTAGAAATTGGCATTTTTAAAACCTTTTCCTTACTATAAAAGCCATAGTCCCCTTAGAATTTCCATAAACCTGATTAAGTTTCTTATTGTTAGGTGTGGATAGGTTTTGCAGATTGCAAGCAGAATTATATCTTTCTCTTCAGCCTTATTCTGTAAAAATGCAAGTAAGCGATTTAGTGTTTTCCTTGATGCTAAAAATAATTCATGTAAATCAGTATAATACTTTTGTTGGTACACAAAGTTTCTGAATTATATTTTGCCTAAAATTATCAATAACTTTTCACCACAATTAAAATGAAACCAGAGTGAAAAAGAATTTTATTATCATCATAAGTGAAAATACATTTTGTATTCAGGTTCCTAACATATAAGATAATTTTCCTTCATCATATAATATATATCATATAAATTCCCTAACCAATTTGGAATAAATAATCAAAGTTCATTTGAAGCCTCTTTCTTTTAATTCAGAGCCCATTTCCTTAGTGACCCATGTGGAGCAGGAGTGCCTGACATTGGTATTTGGGATCCTGACACCAAATAGAAGAGAATCCAGGGGGTTTGTGTAGCATGGAGGCATCTCCCATGTTGTTGGAAAGCTCTCAGAACTGCCTCTCCCTGATGCTCTGATTCTCCAAATGCAAATGTCCATTATGAAAAAGAATTGTCAAATAGGTATTAGCAATGGTAAATAGATTTCTTTAATGCTGGACACAATTTGAATCAAGGGATCTTTCTGATCACATTTGGTATTTCTGGGAATGTAGATACTCTTTGGAGTATAGATTGATAAACTCTGCTCCAGAGAGGTAGATTTAGCTTATTGAGTCAATAAAATACTTAAATCTTTTACTACTACATTTTTGGGGTTGGGTCTATTGAGATAAAAGGTACAGTCCCTGTCCTCAAGAAGTTCTTGGTTTAGGTGGGGTGGGGATCATATAGCTTCAAGATAAAGGCTGCAACAGAGGCAAAGACTCCTGGAAGCAGTAGACGTTTTCTGCAAGTTTGGGAGATGACAGAGTTCATGGGGCCATTGTAGGCAGAGGAGGGCATCTCAAGGTGAAGGAGCAGCACAGGTGGAAACACACTGGGGTGAGAAGAAAGAGGCTACTCTTAATTTACTTCATGTGTGTCAGTGTTCATATGGTGCTTTTATAAGACTTGCAGTTCAGTTGAAAAATAAGCAATTTTTCTTATACTGTTTTCCAGTATGGGGACACACCACTTTTACTTGCTCTACAGTACAACAAACTGCAAATGGCAGAATTTTTAATCCAGAAGAAAGCAAATATACATATAGTTGACAAGGAAGGAAGGTAAAGTAGTTTGTTGTTGTTGTTGTTGTTTTTTAACTTTAGTGGTATAATAACAATCACTCAAGTCAAAAATGTTAAATTAATAGTAAGGGGAAGGGATGGGGTTGTGGGTTAGTGGTAGAGCACTTGCCTAGCACTGGGTTCAATTCTTAGCATCACATATAAATAAATGAAAGAAGGTCCATCTCAACAAAAAAGTTAAAAAAATATAGTAAGGTGAATATTTCAATTATTGAGATAATGCACCCAACTTTTAGGTAGAAATGCAATTATTCAGACTGAGCAATACAAATAAGAGTATATCATGTGATTCATGCACTTATAATTATCGACTGATGTTATCTAATTTTGTTGGTCACATGATCTAATGTTAGCTAATGGAATTTCATAATAGTTTTATAATGTATGGATTTTTAGTTTGCTTTTTGATTCAGTATTGAACTTCTTAACCTTTATGTTTATTTAACTTCTTCTTATATAATTTTCCTTTAAAAATGCTACATGGAGCAAAAGTTGGCATTTTGTCATTTGACTCTTGGTTTTTAAATTCCTTTCTTTGCAGAGTATTGATGTAGGTTATTCCTAAGTGAGCATTGGTTGCTGTTGCCAGATGTTGTTTATTTCCTAGTATATTTTGATGATTTTATTTTAATTGGCATGGGAAGGGGGAAGAAAGATAGCTTTAATGGGATAAATGTTTCCTTTAATAAAGATAGGACTGGGGGGGTGACAGATACAGAGAGATTGGCTTAAGATTCAAAGACACCTGGGTTGCATTCCAAGCTTTCCTAGTTGCAAAGTGAGTCACCTTGGAAACAATACTTACCACTAAATATGTTTGCTGATATGAAAAAGAGGATAATAGCTGCTTGAAGATTACACACATAGCTGGAGTTCAGCACCTAGCAAACGCTTATCAGCGTCCTTAACGGAAACAACAGTGATTAGCACCAGCATTATTATTATTGTTGTAAGCCTGCAGATAGCTTTTACTTGCTTGACCTTTAGCTGACTGTGAGTTACATTATATTACATCAGAGTAGGGAAGAAATGGAGCATTCTTCATTGAAATCTTTACCCACTATGGATAAATGATCTCATCGTGGTTCTCATCCATCAGAGGGTTTTAAGTTTGTTAATTTTCCCCCTTTGGACAAGAGGTTTCTTTTTTCCTTTTAGACTTAGAGATGATTTGCAAAGATGGATACTTGATCTCCCAAGATGTTTATATATGTTAGTATATGTAAAGCAAGCTATTTAAATGGTAAAATATATCAAATTAACTCTTTAAATAGCTTTACTAAAATGCCTGAGTTATCTCTCCATTATTTTAGAACAACTCTCATGCTTGCTGTGAAACATAAAGCAAAAAATATAGTCAAGCTGCTTCTTGAAGGTGGTATTAATGTCTCTGCTGAAGATAAGTCTAGACAGACTGCATTATCTTACGCTATTACTAGTGGTCAAAATGCGTAAGTATTTACATTAAATACTAATCAACATTAAATGGAGTTCAAAATAATCAAAACTATTGCCTCTCACTCATGAGGTGAGCTTTCATAGTTCTGGTATGTATGAAATAGTAGTGAGTTAGTCAACTACATCGGCTAGAAACCCTCCAAGTCTAGACTAGTTAGAAGTAGAGTGCAGGATTTATCTGGAGTTTCCTTTCTTTTCTTTTCCTTTCGGTGGTTGGGATTGAACCCAGGGCCTCATGCATGCTAGTTAAGTGACTACTACTGAGATACACCACCAGCCCATATCTTGGGACTTTTAAAACCTTTGTCCTTAGGATTCCCAGCATTATCCATTTCATTACAAGAAGAACCCCTATTCATAGAGTGCAAATACTATCATATATTTGATTTTTCTAATTAGCTATCTGGTCTTGAAATGTCTAGATTAGCAGAAAATCTCCTTATTTTCCCCTAGGAGCTAGCTTTCCCACCACCCTTCATGAATTTCCCAAGGATCCAAGGAGTTTCTTAAGACCAAGGAAGATAATCCTCTTTCCCCAGTCAGGTGGAGGGGGAAAGGGACTTTTCAATGATTCTTTTGTTTCTGTTGATTCTGTGGCTGCAGGGTTACTATTAGAACTGGTCCTACAGCCTGTTAATGATTGAATTTCTCTACTAGATTGTCCTGACTAATCCCAATCCCTGAATCTTTGTGGTAATACACACTTAGACTTACAGCATGTTTTAGTTTCCATGTACACATGCTTTTATACTCAGCCCTTGCTCCGAGGCAGCAGTGCAATGCTTTGGTAGCTGGGTCTCCTAGCTTTAGCCACACACGCAGGGAGCACGCTGCCGCTGGTTACCCCACCCTCCACCAAAAAAAGAAAAAAAACCCCAACACAAACCTTATATAGAACTCCCAATCAAAACCTTATTCAGAATTCCCACTTCAGCCTCTAGACCTTAATGTTGAGTGTATCTTTGAGGTCTTTTCTGTCAGTAAATATTAATGGGAATCATTCAAAACTATCAGACAGCTTCAAATCATGTCACAGGGAGAGATCAGACTTTCCTATCAGTTTTGCTGGCATTCCTGACAAAATCCCCATGCTATCCTGTGAGGTAACTCTTTATTGGGTTGGTGCCGACTGTTGATTTGTACCTCTAGTGATTTTTTTCCCCTAGTAATAGAAATTTCCCAAGCAACTTGTATCACTGCCTGAAGACTTCAGAATTTACCAAGTTCTGCCTTACAAGGAAGCCATTAAGTAGGGTTTTTGAAAACTAGTTTCCTTAGATCTAAGCGCTAAACCCCATCATGACTCATCTGTATCGATGTATAAAAGAGGGTTTTGCCTTCCGAGTCAGTTGTTGGTCAACACGGAAATCCAAGCCTTGACATTGATTAATTTCCTGCCATTGGTGTGATTGATTAGTTTCTTAGTAGGGGATAATTATATAATTTAAGAGGTAAGATAATTATAAATAAGTTGAGTTATAAATTATTCAATACCTGATTTGCCTAGAGTTATAAAACACAAAAGAAGAACACAGCCAATAATCTAAATTAGAACTCAATAGCATTTTTCAGTAACTGTAACATTTGAATGTTAGAACCTGTGAAAAAGCACTCAGTGTATTTTATTTGGGATTCCAAAATATTCCAGTATCAAAGAAGACATCAATCCATTATTTTACTATTTCTCTTACTATGTTTAAATATTATTTCATTAAAACTTTATAACAACCTGGTGAACTAAACAAAGCACAATGCTTATTTTTTAGAAGGGGACTTGAGTCTAAGACAGAGGACCTGTGTGAGAACCAGGAGCCACTGATCAGAGAGAGAGGACATCTTCTGAGTTCAGGACATTTTCCTTTATGTCAAGCTATTCTAGTTAATCAACTGAGCTCTATCTCCCTGACGTCTTGATCATTTCACCTTACTGGGTTTTTTTTTCCTTTAATTACAAGCTTATGGGTGTGGTGGCATTTGCCTTTATCCCAGCTACTTGGCAGCCTGAGGCAGGAGGATCCTTGAGCCCAGGAGTTCAAGACCAGCCTAGGCATCAAAAACAAAATAAACAAAATACAAAATTATTGCCAGGTTAATGAAATGTTTATAAGGCTTTCAAATTTCAAGTGCATGGGATAAAATTCTGATATTAGGTCTGATGTTAGGTGTAAAGCACGATTAAGAATTGAAAGAGTTGAATATATTTACTTAATGTTTTTCATATAAGTATTAAAATCTATTTTTAAAATTTTTTTTCATATATAGCAATAAAAAACTAATTCTTCAATATATGAAAGAAGAATCTAAAATGTTCTTTAATAGCTTGCCAGGTAAGATTTCTGAAAGTTACTCTTGGTGTTGCTACTCTGTATTAAAAAAAAAAAAAATAGAAAGCTTTGGTCACACAGGAACAGAGAAAAAAAATCAATGTGCAAATTGCATTAATATTTTTTCTCTCTCTTATTAGCTTTTAATCCAGAATTATTTAATCAATTAATTATAGGAAACTTATAAAATGATACTGTCTGAAAACATTTTACATGAATTTAATTTTGGCCACTAAAATCTTATATATGTTTGCATAAATAAGAAAAAGATTCTTAAATTAGTATATTGTGAAATTAGAGTGACATTACAGAAAATTAGGTTTGTTATATAAATAGATATTCTTTTTTTACTATAAATGTTGATTCCTGTTGCTTGTACAAATTAGTAGATTTTGCTGCAACAAAATATATACATATATCGAACTTGAATCCCAGCCCCCCCACTTCCATTTCTTTCCTCCCCTCCCCTCCCCCACTTCCTTTAAATAATCCCTTTTCATTTTCAGTTCATTATTTTTTCCCAGATTCCACATACGAAGGAGAATATGTGGATTTCTGTTTCTCACTTACTCTGCTTAACATGATGACCACCCTTTCCATCCATTTTCCAGGTTTTGTTGTTCTTTTTCTTTTTTATTTGAGGCTTAAAATATACTATTTTATGCTGCACTGATCTTGAAAGTTTCTGTTGAGAAATCTGTTCTTCTGATGAGTTGTCATTGTAATTGCTTTGGCCCTTCTCACTTACAGCTTTCAATGTACTTCTGGCACTTTTACATAATACGATGTAGAGAGGTTCTTTTCTGGTCATGTCCATTTGGTCATGTCCATTTGTCCATTTTATTTTTGTTATTATTACTGTCTGAATGTGATGTTTCACCTTGTCTTCCAGATCTGCTGCTTTTTCTTCCACTTGATCTAGTCTCGAGTTCAGATGGATGAATTTATTTCTTTATTTATTTTAGTTATTGAGCTCTTTGTTTCCAAGATTTTCTTTGGATTTATTTTCAGAATTTCTATTTCTCTGAATGATTGCTTTTTCATATCTTACATTGTTTCCCTTAATTTGCTCAGCTACTTTTTTTGTATGCTCTTTGAATTCATGAATCATTTTTAACATTCTTTTGAATTCTTTTTCTGGATATCATGTACTGCATTGGTTTTGGAATCCGTGACTATAGAGGGTTAAGAATTTTTGGAGAAGTCATGCTACCTTGTTTTTTTTATCTTCATTGTATTTCTATGTTAAGATTTGGGCAGCTGTGGGAAGATGTATGTCCTCCACATTTATGTGAGGGCCTTCTTAGAGTAGCCTTCTCTTGGTGTTGTGTCCTGGACTATTGGTTTCTTGTGTGGTGTTGAAATTATTTCCAAATGGAGTTTGTAGTGTAATTTCCCTATGTCTTTTGTGGCTGTGATACATGAGTTTTGACAGTGTGTGCTGTAGAGAGATAGCAACATTCTTTGTAGACCTTGGAAGAGTGGAGTCACTTTGGTGGCAAGAGTACTGTGGACAGAGGAGTACAGGATGGGAGGGCACACAGTTTACATCTAAAAAAGCTCAATGTCTGTAGAGATTTGCCACGTGAGGAGGACTGAGAAAACCGACCTCATGGTATATGACACAGCATTACTAGATCATCCTGCTCTATTGGGACCAGATAGACTCTTCACAGTGGAAGTAAACAGTCCAAAGAAGTCCTAGTTCATCCACTTGTCATCACAGTATTTTACAACCACCTTGCCATGGGAAATAAGACTGGAAACTGAATAGTTTGTATGAATTAAAATGATGATCTTCCTTTGAGGGATGATGATGAAACCAGTCTCTATTATTATAACCAGACTGATGTTCTTTTATAAGTTGCTTGATGATGATGATTTCAGTGCTGGGACTGACTCATGCATGGTCTGCAAGCACATTACCCCTAAGCTTCATCCCCGTCCCAACTCTATCAGCAGATCCTCGTGAGGAATGCCACAAGAGTCACGCGGTTTGCTTGTTGTACTTTGTTTCATACTTTACAGGAAGTGGAATGGACCCCCCCACCACCACCACCCCGCTAGGGAGAGCCAATGGTTAGCATGTTCTGAAAGCTTGAGATGGAGCTAAAGTTTTATGGAAATATTTTCTCATATCAGCTATTGCTACTTGGCAATTCACTGCTACCTCCCCAGGGCTTCTGTTCAAGTTTCTTTATGACAGTTGTGGATCCGAGTATAGGAACTCTCAAGGGTGTCATCTTGCTAGTGGTTCTTTCTAAGGAAAGTAAAGCCTTGTTAGTAGCACACATAAGATAGAGGAACGAGCTGGAATGAAGAAATTGGCATCTTCACTACAACAGGATTAGTGAGGGGAAGCACATTGATTTCAACTGAGCTCTTCTCAACTTTACAGTGAAATCTTTGGGAGCACCCCAGTCCATGCTCTGTCCTATATTTTTTGATTATAGTCATGGGACACAACTGTTGACTTTTAGGTATCAAATTTTGATAAATCCCATTCTTCTTCTTGCATTTGAGAAATACAATGAAGGGGACATTAGGAGTTCTTAATGCATCCATTACCTATTAGCAGTATAATTCATATTCATTCTAGAATATTCTCTTAAGTATGGTCTCAAAGGAGTACTTAACAAAGAGTTCTATGTTTTTAATATTTTATGTTTTTCTATTGTTGATTAAAGATGTATTTTACTGTTTTCTTTAATAGTGGGGGAGAGTTCTAAAGATGGCCCATTAACCAGGTAGGATTTTATAGACTTTTAAAATTTATATGTTAACTAACTAGAGAATGGAGAGAAAAGGAACTAATATCTGTTGAGTGGTCTAGTCTGGGATAGAGCCTACATTAGGTGCTCAACCCTTGTTTCCTGAAGTCATCACAATGGCTCTGGAAGTGTCTGTGCTGTTATAACCTGTTATTTGCTACTTAAGCAACTGTCATCCAGAGAGATTGACAACATGGCCCATGATCCTCTAATTAATACGTAACTGGGTTGTGATTAGACTGCCAGCCTACCTGGATGACAACTCCATCCCCTTGTGCTGCTGCCTGGGTTGATAAGGACCGATGCAACACAGGATCAAGCTGCACATCTGTATGTGATCAATTCAAAAAGTCCAAGACAGTTATGTGTAAATTCTGATTCAAACTTTACCTGAGGAGCCTGGGTACAGTCTAAGAATTTGTCCTGATATTTTTGACAGTTGTACTGGTAAGGAGCACTGTTTTTATTGATCAAAGTGTTTTAGGGAAAATCTCAGGTAGCTATGGTCATAGGACCATGGTTTTTTTTTTCATAAGCAAGATCAGGTAAATCCTGGACAGGAATTATTTTACTGGAAGTGAAGAATATGTATGTGTAAACCATGTTTCACTAATTATATTAAGCATCTATTTAGAGGATATTATTTTCTTTATGACTTTCTTTTTTTTAGTTTATTTTTTAGTTTTAGGTGGACACAACATCTTTATTTTACATTTACGTGGTGCTGAGGATCGAACCCAGTGCCTCGTGCATGCTAGGCAAGCGCTCTACCACTGAGCCACGACCCCAGCCCCACTATTTAGAGGATATTTTAACTGACTTCTTTCCTCATTTCCCAGTTTGGTTTTACCTTCAGGCTATTGCCCCTGGCTAGTCCTATGAAGACTTTTCTTCTTTTACAATCTTTTTTTTTCTTTTTCTTGCACTATAATCTTGACTTTTCTTCGTTTTACTTTCTGTTCTGCTCTCTTGATGTCTTTATTTTTTTCTTTAATTCTGTCAGTTAAGTATTCTTTTTTTTTCCTAATGTCAGAATCAAAAGTACAGAGAATTTCAGAATTTTAAGGAATTTTAGCAACTAATAAAAGTGCCCTCTAGTACTTCAAAATGTGTTTAACACGCTGGCCAAATGGTTATGACGGAAAACCTGATATTTAATAATATTGAAGTGACTTTTCTGGCTATAGAAAGTGGCAGCAGTGAGATTTGAACTCGGGTTCCTTAATTCTAAGCCCAGTAGGTTTCCTTGTTCACTCTCTGTGTGTGTTGATACTAGGGTGGGGGAGTGAGTCTGGGACACCCCTGAGGAGGATAAGGATGGAATTAGTGAACCAGTGGTGGAAGCTCAGGAGGGAACTAACAGGGGAAGGGCAGGGTCCAGAGGAACCACTCTGCAGGGAGGAATGCAGGCTTCAGAAAAGAGCAGAATATTGGGGTTTGTGATCAATTTGATAGAAACAAAACAGGAATGAAGGACACGGGGAATTGTGAGCCATGTAGAAAGGCATATTAAAATAGGGGATTGAGGGGAGTCCTGAACAGGTCGTGGTTTTCTTGTTTGTTTGATTAGAGGAGCTGACAAACTTTAGGGCTTCTGTGGAAAGATGTTAAAATGCTTTGAGCCATTGGGAAGAGTCTCAGAGAAATGTGAGTGTCTTAGGGACCCTGGAGTTCCAGGGGACACGAATTTGCTGAACTACATGGATCTACGGCTAAGAGCAGGTGTCCATTCACCTCCACAATTGACCCACTCACTGTCCTTCCTGCGTCCCTGCAGGTTAGGACACGGGAATGACTGGTTGGTGAGGCCATCACAGAGCTTCAGTTGGGCAGCTAGTAACATGCTTATGTTGAGGCCAGTGAGGGAGAATCCATTTAGCTTATTTTCCAGGGACAGAAAAAGAGAGCTCCAAGTCTTGGTAACTTTGAGCCCAACCTCGTGTCAGGAACCTGCATCTTCATAGGATGCAAATGTAAAGGTTGGAGAATGCCTCTGAGTCCTGCAGCTGACGGACCAGGGAGTGGAAGTCCACAGAAGAAGGCTGTTGATAGTGTGCTTAGGGAAACAGAGGCTCACCTACCAGGGCTCTGTAGTTTTTCTGGCAATCTTGCCCCTCGGGTGTCCTAGAGCCTGTGGAGGTTTTGAAGTGCTTGCTGGTTTATGTGGACCTGAGTAAGGCAGGACCTACACAGGAAAGATGGGAGGATTTTGTAACTGAGTGCTCCAGTTTGTCTGACAGAAGCGTTCTCCATAACAACATTTATATTCATTCTTTAACATTTGTCCCTTCAACTTCCAGACATCGAAAAGGTCTCAGGGACTCCCTGTGGTGTACCATTTTCAAGCTACCCAACTTAGTTCTGGTTCCAGGGTTGGCCAAGATAAGGGGACAGTGTGTCTCTCTACCTTGTCTTGGGTTATCAGAGGTTTGTTTCAGTTTAGGTAACAAAAATTATCTGGGCTGGGGTTGTGGCTCAGTGGTGGAGCACTTGCCCAGCATATGTGAGGCACTGGGTTCGATTCTCATTCCCACATAAATATAAATAAATAAAATAAAGGTGTCTGTCTACAACTCAAAAAAATGTTTAAAGAAATTATGTCGATCATTCACTGGATGTTCACTTCAGGCTTCAAGACAGGCAATTTGTAAGGGTAACTTATTCTCAGGTTCTGCCAGTATATTGGCTGTCACTCTTTGAAATGGAGCTGAGAGAGTCTTCATTGAATATTTCATAGATTGGGAAAGGTGGATGCAGAAGGAGGCAAACAAGAGCTTTTTAAAACATAGATCATATTTTAATTAAATAGGTCAAGAAACATCATTTAATATGGCTATATCCAAACTTGCACTGGAATCTGTTTAAAAAATAAACTGGACTCATTCATTTTTGTTATATATTTTTGCTTTAAAGGTTTCCCACTGAACCAGATTCTGATGATTCTGATGATTCCTGTTCTCTGTTAGAGGAGGGCAACTGTCCAACTGATACCAAGGTAAAGTGCTCTTTGGTGAAACTTTCTGGTTCTGAGTTTTGGTTTGTGAGGTATTAACTCTTAAAATTAGTAATGATGTCCCTGTCATTTTATATAGAAAATTGCTCAGAAGAAACCATTTCATAGAATTACGTTGGAATTTTTTTTAAAAAGTTTGAAAGTATCAAAGATCTGTCAAGTATTTTAGAGTAGTTGGGGCTGTAAGAAAGAATGGGCTGGAAAATAAGTAGGGAAAGAAAAGTACATTAGGAGCAGCTTTCTACCTGCAGAGGAAATATGAATCCTCTTGGTCAAGGATGATTTGGGTCAGTTTATATTACTGTGACTTTCTCAAATCATACTTATGTGACTTATAATGCTCGCACCTAAATTAATCTTTAATGAATTAAATTAATTTTTATGGAATCATGGAATCTCCCTGGCGCCTTCAGTTTTGAAATCCATAAAGCACATTGCATGTAGTTTTTTTTTCTTTTGGACACTTTATATTTTAGTATCATATCATTTTTAG